AGAAAGAGTAAAAGAGAGCGAAAGAGAGAGCTAAAAGGTTGTCGCTGCTGCTGGCCAAGCTCAGGCTAGCTGCAGCCTGTCACCTGTCAATCCTAGCGGACTTCGACTTAAATTTTTTCGATACGTCTCATTTTCATTTGATTTGGCTGGCAGGTCTTCGTTTTGGCCCATTCCAATGCCAAAAACCATTTGGGCCCAAACGCATGCAGCGACGTTTGGCATAATTGAACAGGCAGCAACAACAACGACTGGAGGATGGGAGACCGAAAGAGGCGACCGCACGTTGACCCAATTCATAATCATGCTTAAACGCCGTCTCTGAACTTTCAACTTGCTCTTGGGGCCTGCCGCATAATGCAGATAATCATGTTAATAACAATGGTAATGATGATTAGGCCTCGGACCCTGGACCTCAATGCGAATGCTGCCTCCGCTCCTGCTGCCGCCGACGCCGCCGCCGTCGCTGCTGCTGCTGCTGATGATGATGGCAGCCTTTCACCGCCACATGAACCTGCCGTTTATGTTGCCGTTGTTGTCCTCGTGTGTCCGCCGCGCTCAGAGCAAACATAATTTTCACAATCAGGCAGAGAATCTCGCTCGCTAGCTAAATCTTTGCCTTCGACTCTTCTTTGACTCTGCCTTTGCCTTTGACTCCGACTCGAAATCTTCTTTTGGCGCTTTCACATGACTCATAACAAGCCAAAAGCATTTTGTGAGCAACGCTTAAAATGCAAAAGCACTGCAGAAGCGGACAAAGCTACAGCTACAAATATCAAAATCGCGTTCGCCCAAAAAAAAAAAACCAAGTGCAAATAATGCAGAGAAGAATCGAATTTTTAATGCACTTTCAGTTGCAATGGAACAAAAAAGTCAATCAAAACACCTTTTAAAAGAATATTTTAGCCATGTGTCCATACTTGAAAGTATATATATATATACCTATACTTATTTACGGATTGCAAGTAAAACAAATGCAGCTTAAGTTGGTCTAGTTTAATGAGGGTATTAATATTAATAAACATAATGCAAATAATAATATAAAGAAAGTCTCACAAAAAATCAGGAATGGCACTGCCTACAACCTTATTGGCTAAGGGCATCTTTAAAAAAATTATATTTATTAAATTTAATAGGATATCGGTTATAAAATTCAAAAAATTTGTTGTTATTTCTAGCCTTTACCAACTTTGACATATATTCAACATGCCCAGCACAAAAGTGCATTTAACAAAAAAAAAAAACGCAAAGCAGAAAAAAACAGAAAAAAATTCTGAATAATTCGTGATCTACAGGCGCAAAAAGAGGGTCACGTTGTTTTGTTGCTGTTGCTGCCGCTGCCGCTGCTGCCTGGTATAAAAGATGAAGATGAAGACGAAGGCGATGACGATGCTGTTGACCGAGGCCGCGCTGTAAGCCACGTATGCGAGTTTTGGCCAAGTTGGTCTCCTCCGTCCAGTTGTGCCTTCTGTCCGATCAAGCGCACGCTGCACTCCAAACACGATTTCAAAATATTTCGCATAAATAAGTTAGTGTAACACACGAGAGAACTGTGCCCAAGTCCAAGACCAAGTCCAAGCCCAACAGCCGAAGCGTTGATCACACGTTCACATTATTTGATGATCGCACGATATGAAAAAAAAAAACAAAAACAAAAACCACAACAAAAACAACAACAACACCAACTGTTAAGGAAAGCAAAATTCGTAGTAGCTGTTCGCTCAATATTTCCATACACCCCATAGCCACATGATCGTGATAATCCATTATTAATGCCAATCAGCATAGGAAAACAACAACAACAACAGGAAGAACAGCAGTAGCTGCTACTTTCTGCAGTAGCTTCCCATAGAGATTATGATCGTGGCGCCCATTTCCTGTGGCAAACCGTACCGCACCACCCAACGGGGGCAACCCACCCGCTACCCGTAGCGTGCATTGACATGAGCAATTCGTAAGTTTGTCGCCTGCCCAAATGCCAGCTCTGCAAGCAGGCAGCGCGGCTAAAACAAAATTTGCATGCAACCAAATGCTGCTCACCTGGTGGTCGTCTCTCCACAGTCATATTGCGGTTGTTGTTGTTATTGTTGTTGTCATTATGTGGGGTTGCAGTTGCAGTTGCAACTGTTGCAACTGTTGCAGGACCTCCCACATGCAGCTCGATTGTTTTGTTGCGGTTACTGCTACCGTTTGCCCAGTTGCTTCATCATTCTCCCCCCACCTGCTGCACCAGCCGTCTTCTCTGCCCAACTTGTCCATTTTTGGTCTCATAATTGTACGAAATTTAGTTCGCATGCCCTTGCGGTCGCCTTTGGTTCCTCTCTGGCAACGCGAAGGCAGTTACGTCTTTTGTTTTCTGTTTTTTTCTGTTTGTTTTTTTTTTTTTTTGCCTTAACAGGCGGAACAATAAATGTTTCGGTCCGGTTCTGTGTTGTTGCCTGCCACATTTTGGGCATTCAAATGTGGCAGCAACTTTCGCGAAATGAAAACTTCAATTTTTTATCGAGTGCATTGCTCATAATTACCAAAAGCCCAAAAGCAGCCGCTGCTCTTGGCTCTCGGCTCTCAACTCTGACTGTGGATCTGACTCTGACTCCGAGCTGGGCTTCGGTTGTAGCTGTTGTTGCTTTGGGCCCAACTCCTGCACTCGATATTCAATTTTGCATTTTACAACAAATGCGTGCCTTACCATATTTAGTTGGCGTGCAAAAATAAGCCAAGTCTCTTAGCAAACTGTGTGAGCGGTGGCGGGCGACGGGCGTGGGGGAGGGGCGAGCATAGAGGCAGCTCGTGCATTGTGCTTATCATTTACATAGCTTAGCATTTTGATGACCCAGCCATTTGTGCAACACTGTGGCATAGAGCAAGCTGGCTGGTGCCTGCCCCAGCAACAGCAGCAGCAGCAGCAAAAAAATTAATTTCAAATTAAATTTATGGCGCCGCAACGTCAGGCAAGGAAAGCGTCGTCCATGGATGTGTGTGTGTTGTGTGTGGCAGATGTGAACCGTGTGCAACTGTTGGCCACCGCAGCAGCTTCAAGTGATTTATAACTGTTTGGCGGCAAGCTTACCTACCCCCTCGTAAAAGTTCACCACAGCGAGTCAGGGAGTCGGCGAATTGAGTGAGCTGCCCCTGTCGCCTGATGGGGATATGCCACGCATTTGTGACCACTCATCTTGGCGAGCTATAAATGTCCAAATGAGTTGCCAGCAAAACCATCAACCAACCGACCTCAGCCACTGAGCGATGCGACGCGACGAGTCCAGCACAGAATGCTGAAAATCACTTTGTTGTGGTAGCTGCTCTTAATCGTTTTGGAATTGCTTTATTAATAGAACAATTGTCGGAATTAAAGGCCAGGTCAGGGCACTCGATGGACCTTTTTTTCTTGTTTTCAATTTTGTCATAAATGTTGCCCCCAAACGTTGGGTTTCAATGGACCAACGACATTGGCTAGATGCAGCGCATATCGGTAGGGTATATTGATTGATGAAGGGCCTTGATAAGATGTCTTCAACGGATCGAAAAGTTTCCAAAGAGACACGACTCCAGAAGAAATTACAGATTTCCTTCAGATCGAAATCTTTGACTATTTGACTTTAACATATTTAATTTAGAGCGGTCTTGTCGTGTCCTTGTATCATATTCTGGCTACTTAATGAAATATAATTTAGTTCCTTAACTTAAACTCTGAATATCTCGACTTGCAACGCATTGGAGCTGTCGCCTAGGCAGGGCGAAAATCTCTGTTAACCTGCACATCTGACAGCTCGATGCTCGCGAGCTTGCAATTCAGCATGACACTTGATGCCTGATGCTTTAAGTGAATAATTGCCAACAACAAAAAAATAAATTAAATAAAAAAAAGAAGAAGCAAATGAAGAAGCAGTAAAGCAAAGCTTGAACTGATGGCCAGCAATGATGACCGGCCGTTAAAGGCCAACAAAACCAGGCCAGATACAGGCGTAGCCAGCTCCAGATGTGTGGCAAGCAATTAGAATGAAGGGGGCAAGGATGCACAGGCAACAGACAACGAACAGACGGTTGCCGCTAAGCTTGCAACATATTTAACACTCCCTTTTGATAACGTAAACTAGAGAAAAAACGCATAGTCGACGCATTGTCGCCGGCTGCTGCATGGTGGTCATTTGCCTCGGGGTGACGATGTTGCAACATGCCTGTTGCCTGTTGCCTGATGCCGCTTAAGTGATTTGTTCAGCGAACTCAGCGCGCTTTCCCAAGGGAGTGTGTGGGGTGGAAAGGGGGCAACTTCATTAATATGTATGCTGGCTGGCTGGCTGGCTGGCGGGTTGGCCTGTTGTCCGCTTGTCTGTGGCAATGTGGCTCTGACTGCGTTTGCAAAGTGCAAACTGTTTAATTGCGGAATAATTGTTTTGCACACATAACCTCGCACCGTTGCAAATGGACCTGGCCAGGCCATAAAAAGCATATTAAGTGCGAATTAATGACCACAAAAGGCTTACCAGACCGCGCTCACTTCTTGGCCAGGCCTGAACTTAACTCAACTCAATGCGGCAAAAAGCGGAGCACACGCACATACTCAGAGAGATTTCGCCATAAGTCGGCCCCTGAAGCTGCGGCTCCTTCACTGGCGATTAAGTCGCCTGCTCCAAGTCCATTCGCCACTTAAGTACAGTCATTTAATTAGTCTTTAGTTTTAATGTATTTGTATTACAATTTATTAGCGCTTACGGCTACTCAACATGAGCCCAGAACGTCGACTTCTGCCATTTAAAAAGTATCTTGAGCGAGTGCCATTATCCAGCAACCTTGAGCTAGTCGGCTCTTCAGTTGACATGGCATCAGCTCTGGAATGTTTGCTCCTTGAAAATTCAATTTTCTACTTTATAATTCAGAAGATCTTGAAGTAAATCTATTTTAAGTCAACAGACAACAATTTGGTCTATCCTGAACGTTTTCATTTTAAATTATTATGTAATTTGTAAGCTTATGCATAATCGTTTATCTTTTCTCTATTCCAGCACAAATGTCCGAAAACTTCAGCTGCTTTATGTATCTTTGATATTGCCTGGTTTCGTAACTGGCAATAACAAAATGGTCTCAATCTATCGTATCGGTGAGTGCTATAAACATTTTGCTTATCTTAACCGAAAACTACTTTGTAAATATGTATATTTGGGGATTTTTGTTTTTGTTGCAATTGAGACCTGTTGAGATGTGTTTCGGCCAGCCAATAGATCAGGTTTGTTCACTTGCCGCATGCATATTTATTAAATTCACGTTCCGTAGACTATTTGGTTGGAAATCCATTTGTTTAAACGATATCAATTCAATCGCTGGCTTATTGACTCGTAACAGCTTTTTCTCGAGCGATTCAAAGGCGAGCTTGTTATTTTTTCTATAACAAATTCTTGCATTAATTTCAAATCAATTTTCTTCACAGCTAAAGGCCCTTATCTTTTTGTATATAGAGAGATCCCAAAAAGGCAACAACTGAAAACTGCACCGAAACGAACAAATTTACGTTCGAAGCGTGGCCTAAACAAAGGAACTTCATTGTTTCATCGCGACTGTAAAAGAGATTTATGCGTCCAAGTGAAATCATTTATCATGCTTAATTAAAATTGAAATGTTTAGCTGGCTGACTTCTTCCTCTTCTTCTTCTTCTCGTTTCGGCTGCTCCCAATGGGGGGAACAGTATACAGGCAAGGCAGGAGGGCAGTCAGGCAGCTGGCAAGCCTTCTCTAATGCCAACATTTTCTTACATTTGTTTTCTACACCTTTTCATATTATTTGTTGACACATTGTTACACAAAATGCATTTAACCGGTTTTTATATAAACGTATAGCAGGAAGATTCTCCGAGCTTCTTTCCACAACTTGTTTCATTGTATTCCCAACACTCTCTCTCTCTCTCTATCATATTCACGTATTTAGCGGTGCGTTTCCAATGCAAAGTGGCCGTTTATCTTTTAATTGTAACAGTCTGTGGCATTAATAAATGCACAGCCTCGGGCTGTCATAAATCGTAAGATAATAGTCTGAATATATTAATGATATCTGCAGAGATTTGCATTATAAAAGGATCGTGTATGTGCGTTACGTCGGTTGCAGCTTCAGCTGTATTTTCTACGGCTCCCAAGTCAGTTATATATATATATATTCATCTATTTATATATAGCATTTCTTATCACCAGTAGCATCGATTTTCTATTGTTCTATTCAATTCAAAGACAATTAGGAACTAGTTCTCACCTGGTAACAATTTGAAAACCCAAACTATTAGCCCCAATATATCAAAGGTTCACTCTATGGAAAAACTCTGAAAGTGAATCATTTGGCACTTTTTGTGTTGTTATTTTCATATCAATGCATTCTCTCACTTAGCACCTGTTTCTATAGAACTCAAAGGCGAAAATCAGTCATTAAATCAATTAGCGAAAAATCTATCAATTTGCAATGTAGATCGCACGTCACAGAAATTCACAGAAATTTGTTTTAACATTAGGCTACAGTTAAGCTATTATACATTGAACCCATTTACATTTTAATAAACCTAGCCTGATTGAAAGCGATCGTTGCCATAATAGTTGCACATATTTTGTTGCTGTTATTGACGTTTTAAGCTATTGTTTTTGATACCGTGTATTAATGGAAATGCATGAGTAGGGTAACATCTTGCCCATCTCAACGAGCATAGGGACAGTAATTATGGTTTAAAGGTTTTCACATATTTTTTTGGCCTGTTTATTGGTCTCATAAATTTAGCATAATAATAATTGGTTAAATAAAAATAACAATATTAATATTGCCTGAAATATGCATAATTCGTATTATCAAGTTTAAATTTGAGTGCAGAATATGTCAGAGTCAGGCACTTCTATATCTTTTCTGTTTGTTGTTGCTTTTAACAATTTTTCTTGTTGTATAAGGTGTGTTACAGCCAAGCTTCAGTTAATGCACACACACACATACGCACACTCATGCACGTGTGTTGTGGATCGACTCACCAAGTTGGCAAGTTAAAGTTCAATGATGTCATTACGACTAATTCACACCTATGTTTGAATTCTGAGTACGCGATTGTTTGTTTATTTATGCATCGATACATATATATTAAAATATATACATTTTTTTTTTTTTGCCAACTGCGATAGAAATCTAAATAAATTTAACATTTAATAATAGCGTCATATATAATCATGCAGCAACCCGTTGTGCCTAATAACTTTATTTGTCGAAATAAAATTGTTATAGCAGCAACGCCTAACGAGGGGCTGAATGTCGACCACCCGCTGATATAAAAAATTCTAGTTAATTGATTGCAGCCCAAAATGTATTATTTAATGCTGATTGGTGGCTTGGTAGCTGGCTATAGTAACTGGCAATGAGCTCGAAGCTGCTAAATAAAATATGAGTTCTACGCAAGTTTGTTGCCTAAGTCTTTTGTTTTGTGGCATCTCAAAGCGAAATGTCAATGAATTCTTTGTATGTCGCTTACAGGTAACTTATGCTAAATCGGTTCAAGCCGACTAAGAACTACAATTCGACGCACCTCCTCCCCCATCCCTGCACCCCACACAACACATCCACTTTTGTGTTCTTGTTGTCATTGGAAATTAACACCCAGAGAACCAAAAAAAGAGATGAAGTTAATTTAAATCAATGCGCAAACTCTTGTTGGGAACCGCTTAACTCGTGCGTTGCTGAAACAAATGCCAATCTATAGGCATGTGAGACTCGCCCGACCCTCTCCCCGCTGTTCCACTCCCCACTTGTTTGCGAGGCTCCAAAAAGTGTTAAGTATGCCTTTTATGTTTGGGATCTCTTTGGGCTGTTTGGCTGTTTGCTTAGGCAATCAGTTGTTGATAATTTTTTTTGTTAGTGTCAATTGTTGTTTTGTTGTAGCTTTGTGTTGTGTGCTGTGTTGTGTATTGTGTTGTGTATTGTGTCTGGTGTCTGGTCAGTTGTGTGTGATAATTTAGACAATTCATCGATAAAAGCGCGCAACAAGCGTATCGAATGTGCATATAGCTAAATGGCTTCTAATTTATCCACTTATGCACAGGGTACTTTAAGTTAGTCTTGTGGAGTGTAACGCTCCCAAGAAGACATACAATTTATTAACTATCAAACGGGTGTTAAGAGAGATTATTTATATACAAAACTGTAGCTAACATTAAAAACATCTGAGATATTAGAAGCTCTGCCATAGGGTATTGAATGTTCGGCAGATCTTAGAATATATTTTCATTCTTTTACACTGTGTTGCCCCTGTAGTTTGTCGGCGATTGCATTTTAATTATGCCGAAATGATAAAAGCATACTAACTGGAATTTATTGTTGATATATTCATTTAGCGCCTTGGTGAAAAGCTTTTTAGACTCGATCGCCTATTGTGTGTGGTCTGCGCTTCAGATTTCTGCACAAATTCTTTACGAATTATTTCCCATGATCCATCATCGATGGCATACGCGACGACCTCAAGCGGCATTCAATCATTATTCAGCTCTTTTACACCACCCACCAAATAATACAAGACATCTGCAATAACAACAGCAACAACATTAACAAACAAACACAATTACGAGCAATGTAAGGCCAATCAAGACAACTTGGTCAATGGCTATAATTGCTAGAAATAGCTCTGGTGTTAATACTTCGAGACGGGAATTTTCGTTTTCATTTGTGCAACAAACAATAAAAACGTGATTAAAGATGCTATGCAAAGTACTGTATTAATTTGCATAGGTATCATGGGGTATATTGACTGCAGGGCTTGTTTAAACTAAGACAGAAAAGAACAAAATTGATTTATTTTTATTATTCAGAACTCATATATTTTCCATTTCCTCTTTGCTTCATATTGAAACGATATCAAACATTCCCAATTTCCTTAATTTCAATTACTTTTTCACTTTGAGTACAGCGTATTTGTCCATCGATCAACTTTCTATCTTGCGACCCGTGTTATTGAGTTGAATCACAAAACTTGCCTTGCGAATCGTTTGGCGCTGCTTTAATGTGGGAAATAAGTCAAGCTATGGCCTCTCTACGCCCAGCCCAAAAAAAAGAGCTTAGCTCCGGTTGTGCTCGTACTCCGGGGGCGTACTTGTATTCAGATTTAGATACAGTTGACTATTAAAATCGATGTAAGCGAAGTGTGCGCTGCGCATATAATTACAATTACAAAATTTTTAAATATTTCTACATGCATTTTTATGCTTCATTTCCTGTGCACAGTCAATGGCCAATAGGCATTGGTCAATGGGAATCAGTGGAAAGCTCTTTGCCTTGCATATTAATTTTGGGGCGGCAAAGTGCATGGCGGCCATACGAAATGTGCATTTAATTGACAGGCCAAAAGAATCAAAATTAGCATAAACGGACAGCATATTTTATTTATTTCAATACAATATTTTCATTAACAAAACCGTCAAAATATTCTAGTCGAAAGTGTTTGACCAAGGGATACCCTGCAAGCCGGTGCTCGTGCTACTGTATTATTAATTATTAAGAAATATATTTAACACTATGAAAAAATTGAAGTGAATATAGAAACTATATAAATGTATATTCGAGATATATAAATGCATATTCAAGATATATTTATACTTGTTTAACAAATATTAAGGCCCATTTCTTTTAGAAAAGGAAATAGTAAAATATAGTTTTATTGCTTTTGCTAGCTTAGGGACAATATCTTAAATTTAAAAAATAAATAGGGTATTGTTATATTATGAAACGGATATATTTTGCATTTGACATCTCAAGAAAATATATTTAGCAAGAAGAATTTCAGTTCTTGATTTTCTTGATGTAAATGATGGGATATTAATGAATCAATACACAACTTCCTGAAAACTCATTTTACAGGGTATCACGTTTTGTTTTGGGTGTCTTTTTACAGTTACATCAGCCAAAATGTTTTTTTTTTATATAAAGTTTTCTGTAATGCCGCCCAAAAGCTTTCTTCTGACACATGTCCAACTACTTTTCGACCTGTTCGATCGGCTGGCCCGGTCGGTAAGTTCAATAACTTGGCGTGTGTGTGTGTGTGTGTGTGTCTGTCTGTTTGTTGCACAGAGTTTGATGAATGCATTTGCCGAACGAACA